ATCACAGATCCCATCAACAAAAAAGTTCTTTCCACAGCTAGCCGGACCAATCAAACACAGACAGTTCTGCTTTCCACTTGTCTTCTCAAAGATGTCATAAACGGTCTTTAAAAAGCTCTTTGCCTCCTCCATGTCAGAGTCAAACTGGAAATGGAGAAGGTCCAACAACATAAAAACTAACTCTTTGGTAGACCGGTAGACCTTCTTAATCTGGTCACTTGATCCGGCACTGTACACATTTAGGGTGAAGCCCTTGGTCTGTAAATCATACAGTTCCTTGCCTGACATGTCATTGACCTCTGACCTAAACTGTCTCAATGCATTGTCAAACAATAGACCTGTATGGGATACTTCCTGTAATTTATCTATTCTGAACCAATCTCGTGAGTATGGCAAACCATTAGTCGGACAAATTAGAAATCTTTTCATTAGTAATACCAAGTCACTTGACCTAACACGGTACTTACTGTTAGAAAAGTTTTCCATCAACGCCAACCACTGCTCCTGCTGAATGGCTGTACCGGTGGTGGAGGTGGAGGCTTCGCTGTTGAAATCTCCGCTATTATACCCGACACCCGGTGAACGCCTGTTTCCCTGTCGACCCACAGGTTCTCTGCCCCGGACGTATAACTGGCTAAGGCTTGGCCGAGTTGTTCCAACGGGTTGAGCTGGATCTTGCTGCGGTGGATCGCATATTTCCACCATTCCTGTGGGGAGAGATGTTCTACGTCCTGGCGTCGGTATAACTCCACCTTGGCAATAAACTCCCCCACGTTCTCCGGATGTCTCACAGTAAAGCATTTGCTTCCCGTTCTCCAGGTGATAAAGGAGGAGCTCGTGGAGGCTTTCACTGTCCAGCCGGTGGATGGGGATGGCCTTGCAGTAGATGTTAAGCCTTTCAATTAACCCTTTTGCCAGTAGAGGGTTATTTAGTTGGTGAAGCCTTTCAATTATCCCTTTAGCCACTGTGTTATTTAGTTACCACAAAGACAATAATAACTATGAAGTAGAACTAACAGATTTCTTAACTCGGCTGTTCAAAACATCAAATAGCGAATTCACGAATTCTAAAAATTCAGCAGTGTTTAGCGCTTTGATACTATTGCTCTGGTAGTTGCCCCATTCTGACAACTGTCCTCAGAGCTGAAACTGTGGTATGGCTCATCAACTGGGTTGCAAGGGTGACATTCATCTTTTGAAAGTTATTAGGGTTGATGTGAGCAGATGTTAATTTTGGAGCAGCTCTAGTTGAGTTGCTAGTGGAGTATATTTGAAATTGTGACCTGATGTCACCAAAAGAATTACTTACTTTTAATTTAACTACCAGACCAGTTTTCGTTAAGCTTTTGACACATTCTGGTATTAATGTTATGGTCTGATTACCACTTAATCCGTTTCTAGTTATAAAGTGACCAACAGGCATCTTCCAGTGGTAATTAAGTCCACGAACAATAAATACGCATGCCTGCTTACCTATTGGCTGTCGTCCAAGAGGTCCAGCGTCTTCATAGCATTTAATTACGTCAAAATTTAAGTTATACTCGAGGGCCTGTTTAATGGACATTTCGTCGGACATTACAACGCATGTCCTTTCCATAATGTTCATGCTGCTAACTTTCAACTTGATTTGTTTCAAAAGTCGGGTATTGAAACCTGGCGTAAAGAACTCCTTTGATGCAATCCACGATTTAATTGTTGAAACTCCAGGCAGTATTATGGATTGTGATGAAAACCTGTAGAAGATGGAGACCTCAGATAAAGAGATGTGGCAACGCGTTTTTCTTCTTTTTAACCGACTTCCCCACTACCAACAAAAGGAGGAGGTTATTAATTTGTTTGTGGCAATATTTTTTTTCTATGTATGTTAACCAATTTCTCTGTGATCCTTTTACCGATGTGCGTGGTTCTACCACTAAAATAACCAGGAGAGTTTCTATTTGGAGAGTTTTTAACATTATATATAACATAATGTTTAAGTGTAATATTTGTTATGGTAAAATGCTAAAAACCTCAAATATTCAACATTTACTTTGTATTTATTTTTCTCCGAGAAGGCAATAAATAATAATAATCCTAAAGCTGTTAGCTGAAACCATTTAAATGAAGCAACAGTACAGACAGTTCTTCATTAAACTGTTGCTTCGTATTGATTAATAAACTTTTTCTCTCCATTGAGCCTAAATAAATTACATTGAAAAAATGCATTTTGTTTTGGTTACTATAAAAAAGGTATTTCAAAGTTTGATCTGATTTGTGTATAATTCTGTTTTGAGTATAGAATATTCTGACTCATAAAAACATAGGGAATAGCTGCATGATATTGACAAATAAAGGTGTATTGTGATAACCAAAGCATTCGTAAAAGAGGTCCAAATATAAATAAAATGCAATTATTCCTTACACGACCTAAGAAGTGTGAGAGGGTATAGTCGCCAATCGTCTTAAAAGTGTTAAATATTTTAATCACTAAACATGCATTTGCAGATGTGGAATGTTTAGTAATATTCTCCACCCATGTACTATATGATATCAATATCAATACTATTATGCCTGCTTCGGAAAGTCCTAGAGGAAGCTGATTTGCAATTTCGACTATATCTTGAGCAAACAAAACCACCTACCCCTTACACCACTTTTAGCTGAACCAATCTTTCACATACATATTTTCCAAATGAACTATACGTAATAATAACAACCAATTTTCTACTTTTGAGAGATTTTTAAATAATGTTTATTACTTAATATTTTTTTATAATTACTCTGTTACGTAAAATACCAAGTTATTTATTTTTAAAATTTTCATAAAGTTAATATTTACAAGTCAGACGGGTAAAACTAAAGTCAGCTAGGTTCTAGATAGGAATGAAAGTCGTGAGAGTTCTCCGCTGCCTGTTGTTTGTTTTACGTCGAATAAAGTATCCGTTAGTCCTGGGTAGTTCCATATTGTACGGTACTTTGAGTATAAAGTTTTTCCCTTCGTTACGTACAATTACTCTGTGATGTTTGGGTGAAGTCTTAATGTAAAAGTATTTTTCATTTAAGCGTAGTTTGTATATTTGTATGCGTTTGATATTACTACTTGTCTGTGGTACAGTATTTGGTGTGGGGATTGGTAAAGTACTAAGACCAGGTAATGATGTAGGTGAAAGTACAGTCAGTGACTTAGTTGTTGGTCTTGGTGTTGAAACACTTGGTCTAAAAAGTGAAGTATTATGGGCAGGTAATGAAGTCGGTGGTTTGTGAAAGGTCAGTGACTTATTTGTTGGTCTAGATTTGCTATGCGTACTGTTAGTCAGTGTTGTACTAGGTACACTCAGTGACGTTGTTGGTAGTGATTGTTTTTGTTTTTTGTTTATGTAGTCGCCGTGCACAAAACACAAAGTACAATTAATTTTGGAAAGTTTTGTACAACGTGTGTTTTTTTTCGGTCCAAGTTTGTAAGTATACGTACACGGCTCTCTCTCACGCTTCAGTTTTCGTAACTCTCTTCTGTTTATAGGTGGTCTAGTGTCGTCAATTAGTATAGGGGCTTGATGACCTTGAGGAATTTAGTGATGAAGGGTCGTATGAGTTTTTTACAGGACTGTTTGTAGGTGTTGGTGGGAGGGGGCTTAAACGTTTTGGAATGGCTACCATCCCCGTAATGATTGTTTGTAATAATGTCATGGCAGACGGAGAGGACTTACTTTTAGGTGCATTAGGAGGGTTCTCATACGGTGAAGAAGGCAGCATGGCGGGTCTGGTAGTCTGTAGTGATGGAAGTGAGTCATTTCTAGGAGTCGATGGTGGAAGTTCATCATTCCGAGAAGTCGATGGAGGAAGTTCATCGTTCAAGGAAGTCGATGGAGGAAGTTCGGCGTTCCGGGGAGTCAATGCAGGAAGTTCAATGTCGGAAGTCAATGTCTCTAGTGTCTGCGGGGATGTAAGAGCGTCTTTAAGGATGGTTGTTTTCTCCAAGCAGTTGGGTGTCGAAAAACTTGCCTTACAAAGATCTCCTGAAGCTGAGGTGGTATTTGACGATCTGTCGTCCACATTGAGGATGGTGTTGATAGCAGTCTCTATTTCTTCATCGTGGGACATAGGTTTTCCAACACCCATTTTAGTTGGCTGCGAAGGCTTTCTTATCTAGGGAAGCATGTTTCAATTGAAGTTGGAGAGAATGTAGGTAGATAATAGCGCAGGCTGTAGTTGAAGTGCGTCTTGTGTATAAAGGTGCCCATACACGTACCGGCAAGCCTGTCAGTTCTGCCTGAACAGTCCGCCGGAGACCGGCGGACTGTTGGACTGACTACCCCATACACGTTCAGTTCAATTCTGTCCGGCGAGCGCTTCAAAACACATTGATTTCTTCGTGCGTTTAGTTTTTAGTAGTTTAAAAAGATTTGCAAGTTTTTTTGTGTAGTTATTTATTTTCTAAAGATTATTTATAGTTCAAAATGTCTAGTGATGACGATGATTACGCAGTTTTAGGTTTATTACTAGCAGTAGTTCCTACCAAAAAACGGCGAAAAAAACGTGAGTGTTGGTCGAAAAGCTGGTTGATGAAGAGGGACACGTATTCTCACATAAATTTATTAAAAGAGTTAAAGGTGACTCCAAAAGACTGGCATAATTACTTAAGAATGGACGAAAATACGTACCTAGTTCTTTTGTCACTGGTTGCTCCATTGATTGAGAGGGAAAACACTGTGATGAGGAATGCCATATCTCCTCACGAACGTCTAACCGCTACACTTAGATTCTTAGCTACTGGGAGGAGTTTAGAGGACCTAAAGTATTCAACAGTCATATCCCCACAAGCACTAGGAAAAATTATACCAGAAACCTGTGAGGCGATCTACCAAGTTCTCCAAAAGGATCACTTGAAGGTAAGAGAAATAATATATATGAGCATATTAAAAAGAGAGAATTTTATTTCATGTCTGCACACAAACACAACACATAGTTAATACAGTATAAAAAAAGGTTTATGTTGAGCGATTAAACAAATTTACCACATATTCTATAAGTCTACATATTGTATGGACACTCTGTAAATGTAACACATAATTCAATGGTTATCAAACTTCCGAAATTAAAGCACAATACTGTACTAATTTATAACTTGTTGACTTGTAACTTGTTGACAATAACTTGTTGTAATAATTTAAGAAACATCATTGTATTCTGAGAGGAAAGTTACAAGTGCATTTGTAGTACGCTGGTCTTGTGATTGTGACGCATTCAAGTCAACGTAAACCTGTGAGTTGGGTGGAGGGGTTACGTTTTGGTTGGATTGTGGTGATTGGTATGGGGTGGAATTTCCGTGCTGCGAACTAATGGATGTAGATGGGGAATAATTGGTTGTAGAAATATTACGCATCGGAGGAAACTGTCGTGGTGAAAAGGACTGGTATTGTTGGTATTCATATGGTCTTTGGTTAACCAACGCAAAATTACTGCCTAAATTACCACCCTCTGCTTCAAACAAAACATCATTTATAAACTTTTCTGCCCACCGGCGTTGATCGTTTGGCAATTCCCTCAATTTTAGTGCAATCGTTTTTCCAAAAGCATCAAAGCGATCATCAGGGTTTTTTGGTGTCTTAAAATGATTTTGAACGGTAGTTAAAACTTCATGTGTCAATGTAACATTATCTGCTGGTTTTGGTCTCGATGATACTTTAGAGCGATTTACATTGCTATTAGATGATGCGGGTAAAGCAGTACTTTCGATGTCGTGCACTTCGATGTCTTCGCTAGGAGCAATCCGCATACTGTCATCATGCACATCTACGCTCGGCGTGGATTCCTCATTCTGAAAAAAAAATACGGGATGTAATTCCCTAATTTTAAGTAAAATAGTCTAATAAAATAATAATATAATTATATAATTATTATATATAATATATATAATATTCTATTATATATATATTATAATAAGTTATAATATTATTATACATTTTAATAATATTATTATAATTATAATATATATTATAATTATATATATTATAATTAGTTACATTATATTATAATATATATAATATTATATTATACAGGGTGAGTTTTAATTGTCCCCCTCCCCAACTTTTTTCTACATTTTTTCAAATATCAATCCCAGACCACTTCCAAACATTGTTGGGTAGTAAGTACTTCATTTTGACAAGGTCTTCATTTCCGGCCGCCATCTTGGATCCGCCATATTGGATGCAAAATTTTTTTTTCAAATGTAAAGGTGAGGTTGTGACCCATTATTTCGAACTACATTTTTACCCTAATTACAATGCCGCAAACCGTTTTTAAAAATCTTGATTCATTCTAAAGTTACGAGGGCTTTTTAAAACTTTATTTTTAGCCCATTTTAACATTGTGCATTTACAAACTAAGACCATAATCCCAAAATAGTGCTAGGTAATGATAAGTATACACTACCAGTAATTGTCCACCTATTTTCACTTGGTTATGACTGATGTATTTTTTCGGCCGCCATCTTGGATCCGCCATTTTGAAATGTGATAAATTATTTTAAATATGAACGGGGTGTTGTGACCCATCATTTTGAACTACTTTTTTAAGCTAAACTCAATGCCGCAATCCATTTTTTGTTATCAAGTTTATTTATGAAATATTGAAATTTTTTTTGTTAAAAATGTCAATATTTCAAAATCAAAAAATGAAAATGAAAAACTGATTATGGAATTAAGTTCAGCTTAAAAAAGTAGTTCGAAATGATGGGTCACAACACCCCCTTCATATTTAAAATAATTTATCACATTTCAAAATGGCGGATCCAAGATGGCGGCCGAAAAAATACATCAGTCATAACCAAGTGAAAATAGGTGGACAATTACTGGTAGTGTATACTTATCATTATCTAGCACTATTTTGGGATTATGGTCTTAGTTTGTAAATGCACAATGTTAAAATGGGCTAAAAATAATGTTTTAAAAAGCCCTCGTAACTTTAGAATGAACCAAGATTTTTGAAAATGGTTTGCGGCATTGTAATCAGGGTAAAAATGTAGTTCGAAATAATGGGTCACAACCCCACCTTTACATTTGAAAAAAAAATTTTGCATCCAATATGGCGGATCCAAGATGGCGGCCGGAAATGATTACCTTGTCAAAATGAAGTACTTACTACCCAACAATGTGTGGAAGTGGTCTGGGATTGATATTTGAAAAAATGTAGAAAAAAGTTGGGGGGGGGACAATTAAAACTCACCCTGTATAATATATTATATATAATAATCATAATAATATAATTATATAATAATATAATAATAATATAATTTTAATAAGAATTAAAACTCTTCTTCGTTTTCAGTTTCCAAGAACAGAGGAAGAATGGAAATCCATAGCAAAACAATTTGAGCAGCGTTGGAATTTCCCACACTGCCTCGGTGCAGTTGATGGGAAACACATTACCATCATCCCTCCCCCAGACTGTGGTTCGGAGTTCTTCAACTACAAAGGACACCATAGCATGGTGTTGATGGCAATCGTTGATGGAAATTATAGGTTCATCATGTGTGATTTTGGAACAAATGGTAGAGTGTCCGATGGTGGTGTTATTCAGAACACTTTATTTTATGACAAACTGCAACACGGTACATTAAATATACCTCCTGAAGAAATCGTCAAAGACACATCTACAGCTTTACCTTACGTATTTGTTGCGGATGATGCATTTCAGTTACGCGTCGATATGATTAAACCATTTAGATTGGCAAGTTTAACTGATGACAATAGAAAGGTGTACAACTATCGTGTATCACGAGCAAGGCGCATAGTAGAAAATGCGTTTGGAATATTGAGTGCCAGGTTCAGAATATTTCATACTTTTATAAATATGAATCCTACAAAAATTGAATCTGTTGTAATGGCATGCTGTGTATTGCACAATTTTTTGGTCAACACTGTTCCGAAAACGTATGCCCCTACAGAATGCTTTGACATCGATGACAGGGAAGCTGGTATCACAAATGTAGGTTACAATTGTGAACATGAGAACATGTACGGTTTACAACAAAGAGCACGTGGAAGCACCATGACTGCCGCAATAAGGGTTCGAGAAAAATTCATTGATTATTTTGTTAATGAAGGTAGTGTCCCGTGGCAGAGAAACTTCATTCATTGACATTGGAATGAATAGTTTTGCATTTGTTGCATTATTTTAGTAACTTTAAATATAACTGTTGCTTTTCGAATGGTAATGATGTGGTATTGATTTGATTATTTTGTTAATGAATGTAGTGTCCCGTGGCAGAGAAACTTTATTCATTGACATTGGAATGAATAGTTTTGCATTTTTTTCATTATTTTAGTAACTTTAAATATAACTGTTGCTTTTCGAATGGTAATGATGTGGTATTGATTTTGCAAATAAATAAAATACATAAATTACATGTTGTTGTTACCTCATTGTTCCCAACTTGTTCATCTTCGCTCAAGTTACTCCTTGACTGGCGGGGAGTTTCCTGGTCGTCCAAGAAATGCAGGAGATTGTAGTACCACAGTTTTGGCAAGTACACATCTTCGGCTGAAGCACCTGACTTTGTTGCTTCCCTAACCTTTTTCAACTCTTTCCGGTAACTACTTCTCAAATTGTTTATTTTCTTCAACACAGTAGATTTATTACAATTTGGATCTACCTGCTTCCACACTTCAATTAACCGTCCGTAAGCTGCTTCCTTCTTCATTCTATCATGATAATCTGCTGATTTTACTTTCCACAAGCATTTCTCACTTTGATACACACTAATAAATTCCTCTAAGCATTGGTTCTCTTTTTCACGTGACATTTTCACAATCACAAAACAACAACTCACAAATAATCACAGAAACAATTCACAACTACTAGCAACAACTCGGAAATACAAATGAAGTTCGGCCGGTGGTCGGACGCCGCTCCCCATACACGTTCAGTTTTGACTGAAACAGCTTCCGGCAAGCCGGTTGAACTGATGAGTTTCCATTCGATCACCGGCCGCCGGTACAGTCTTAACTGACAGTCCAGCCGGACCCCACACACGCTACGGCCGCCGGTCTCCGGCGGACTGTTCAGGCAGAACTGACAGGCTTGCCGGTACGTGTATGGGCACCTTAACTGAACACAAGTGACTTTTGCAAAGCAAATGCTTTTATCTTATACCACTGACCAAGGTTAGTAACTCCCAAACAAGGTAGCGGAAGAAACGTTTGTTGAATATTTTAAAAGTTATTATAGCTGTATCTTAGGCATGAGTCTGTATATTATATGAGTAGTCGTCGCGACCCGGTCGGACAAAATTGACCTTGAGATCAGTTGATCACGTTAGGTGATTATGGATAAAAAGTGTTCTATGCCAACCATGATAACAACTTTTAAAAAGGTGTATATTGTTCTAGTATATCTAATAATTGTTTCAACATAAATATTATGATAAAATTAGAGCAAGTGTAAAATTAAATAAATACTTAAAAGCAGTACTATTTTGTTGCAAGTATAAATAATTACGGCGGCAGCTTGTTGTTTAGAATTACTCATACTCTGAGGATGCATATGGAATCTAAAACACAGTAATTAAGATACAACCATTTATTCTATAAAAACATTATGGACGAATATTGCTAGTGTTTGTAGATACGTACATTGGGGGAATTCCCCACCATATCTGTGCACTTTACGCTATACATTTTTGAGCTGGTGAAAAACTCCAGATCCTCGTCAGTGAGGAGGGTTGTGAATCTTGATGGTAGAAAGGTGATCCTCTCCTCTCCAGAAGATGTGGTAACGTCAAGGACAATAACCGTAGTCCCGAATCGTGTGCTGACTCTCCTCGCATCTTATGTTACTAATTAAAATATAGCATCAGTCACCCCTCTCTCTCACACACTCTGACTCTCTGTCTTAATGTCATCACTCTCGCTCTCTAAGACATGACCATATTTGGCAGGTCTAACATTTTGGATAGGATGAAAGTGTTGAAATATTTCATGGTCTTCAACAAACTCTCAATATAAATAATAAAGTTAAAACTATCGAAGTAAACAAATTACACACTAAAATTCTGATTAATTATTTACTTACTTGAAGTTTTTGTCGAGTTTGTGTTGTACCTATTCGAAAACACGAAAATGTAAAAAAACTCTCGGCACCAGAATAGAATCATAAACTGCGAAGGAAGGTGTGATTGATACTGGCATAAGAGGCAGACAGTACAGGTTTTATACATGGACATCACCCCTCTCTCTCTCTCACACACTCTGACTCTCTGTCTCAATGTCATCACTCTTGCTCTCTAAGACATGACCATATTGGGCAGGTCTAACACTTTGGATAGGATGAAAGTGTTGAAATATTTCATGGACTTCAACAAACTCTCAATATAAATAATAAAGTTAAAACTACCAGAGTAAAAAAATTAGTCACTAAAATTCTGATTAATTATTTACTTATTTAAAGTTTTTGTCGAGTTTGTGGTGTACCTATTCAAAATCACGAAAATGTAAAAAAAAACTCTCGGTACCGGAATAGAAGTAAATCATAAACTGTGAAGGAAGTTGTGATTGATACTGGCATAAGAGGCAGACAGTACAGGTTTTATACATGGACATCATCCCTCTCTCTCTCTCTCACACACACTCTGACTCTCTGTCTCAATGTCATCACTCTTGCTCTCTAAGACATGACCATAGTGGGCAGGTGTAACATTTTGGATAGGATGAAAGTGTTGAAATATTTTATGGAGTTAACAAACTCTCAATATAAATAATAAAGTTAAAACTTTATTTTTTTTATGATTTATTATTGTAACGATGTAGATGACATTGGGGTAGGTGAAGAAGAAATGTTAATCGGTTCCTGATTTAAAGGAAGACTTTTAAAATACAATAATGACGTACATGACATGGAGGTAGGCGAAGGAAAAGAAGTTTAAAATGTTTTGTGTTGAAAACATAGTGTTTTTCATTTTCAGGGGAAATCCATCAGCTTGCCATATTTCTCTGAGCAATATTCTTGGTTTTAACGCATAAGATGATATTAAGATTTTATCAGGCGAAGTGGTATAAGTGGAAGAATTGTTTAGAAAAGAATTCATGTTTTTAAAGTGTGGTATAAGAGGAAGAATCTTTTGAAGAAAATATTTTTATGTACGAAAGGTTTTATGTCAGATTCATCTAACAGCTCTTTTGGTAGGTAACTTGCCACAATATATGCAAATGAGTTTGATCCGTGTCGTTGATAAGCATTGTCTGTCGAGGAAACTGGATGGAATTTTAATTCAAAGTCAGTTGTGACTACAATCGGTACTTTAACTTGCATATCATAACTAACAAATCCAAGTTCCTTTTTTGCTGCTCTGGCATAAGCACTTCACTAGGTTTCGATTTTCCACAGGGCATTGGATGCTCACTTACAACGCCTGTTTTCTTTATGAGTGCTACACCTTTCGCAGATTGTGATTTTATTGCTGCCTTTTGTAATTTGTGGCTGCATAAGCTTTGTGAAATAAAATATTAATGTAAAATGTGCCCCACCTTCATCGTTTCTAACGAGGAGGAGATCAAAGTGGTCGTGAAATATCCTAAAGGGAGTAATATGGGTTTCTTCATCTAATTCAAAAATGTTTTTTATTTATGAAATAAGTGTTGGAAAAAAAATACCATCAAAGTAGTAGTGGTTTTCACATTCCCTTAATCTATGGTCAACGAACACTGAGTCATGGCGTGCGTTAGGTATAACTTTTGGTAATATACTATACATACAACAGCTGTCGTAACTATTTTTTACATTTAAAAAACATTACGTTTTACAAATCTTTGGAGACAGTGACAGATACCCACTGCCAACAGGCAATGCATATATGAAAATTTACTAAGTCTTAGTGTGAGGCTCTTTATCTCATGCAAAGTCCACACACTGTCTTTCGCCTGCGCTTCAGATTCCTAACAAAGCAGTTAAGAGCCGTCCTTCTTCCGCAGCTCTTGTAGCTCATCACAGGTGCTGTGTACAAGCCTCGATTAGGTCTTGAAATTCATAAAATCACAGTGTCCTTCTGGATGGCAGAAGACGGCTTCCAGTACAATGTTATACTTGAGGAATTTGGTGCCACGCAGCTCATCTTGTAGTATCTTTAAAAAATCTTCTTTATATACACCATCCTCCGGTATGTGGACCCGAATCCGGTGGCGCCTCGTTTTTTTAAACCCAATTTTGATACCCCAACCACCTCAGGAAACAAAGCAGCTTCGCAAATTTGCTGGGCAATCCTATCTCATTTGTTAATGGAAAAGTCGGTGTTTGAATGATTGAAAATCAATACACAAAAATTGCCCGTATAATCCGGATCAATAATCTCGCTGCTAAAACAACTGAGTGTTTTAAAGCTAGCCTAGACCTACTCCCTATCCTACCTTTTAGCAGTTGGGGGGTAATCAAACGGTGATGTCAGTTTTAACCAATATTTTACTTTTTTCCAATTAATTATAATTGTATGGACTACGCAAATCATCGTGCATGGGTGTAGCACGATGCGGTGCAAATCCATTTTCGGTTTATTTAATAGATTGCAATTTTTTGTCGCTGAAAAAATACAATAACGTTTTATAGATATAACATGTCCTGATCTTCATTATCTTTGGCGTTAAGCAAAAAGTAGCCTTTTTTGTTTCCTTTTTGCCAATAAAACTTCTCGCTACGACAATAATTAAGGTCTCTTGTGTCAGTGATTTCAATTTTTATAAGATGGTTGCCATTTTTCCCACAGTTTTAATTTTCCTTTTTTTAAATTCCCGGTATTACATTGAAACAGTTGACTGACTTTTAACGAATTGCTCTGTTTTTTTTTTAAAACAAATTAGCAAAATTATCCTTGGTGTCTGAATCATCATCCTCGGATGAGGAGTCCGAGGAACTTGAATGATGCTTATAAGCATTACTCTTGAATTTCTTTTTGTTCTTTTCCTCAAAATCAATTACTTATTGTGCACGTTTTATCGGGGTTTGCATAGTCCTAGTGACTGTTTTGTGTTGGTTATTTAAAACTGTACGTATTATTGAAAGGTTTTTTTCTAATTCTGGTTTAAAAATGTTTATCAAGTCTTCGAAGCTGTAAGCTGGTAAAACGTATTTGGTCAACTTGATTTTGGGACAATGAACTGTCACAGTTACCGTATGCATGAAATATTTTATAAAAATGTGTCAAACAAAAGAGCAATTTTACAAGAACGGGGTCGCCCAATAGTTCTTCCTCAAAAACACGTTTCCATTTGTTTAGACTAGCCTATCCAATCATGTGCAGGTTCCCCAAGATTTGCAAGATTGTAAAAAAGGGTATCCCTAAATTAGCTGAATGCGGAGACATTGATGGTTGTTGTTCAGAGAAAGGCACGGTAATTTCGACTACGTCATCGTCTTTCTACGTGATTACCCCAGGAAGAGTCCATTAATATAAAGAGGATAATGTGTAAAATAGAGCGTATTTTTCAATAAAAATAAGTATAAATTAAAAGAAAGTCAATCGCAAATTATTATTTAAAACTTGTTACCACGTGTAATTTAATTTTACACAGTTATTATGTAATTGTTTGGTTAAAATTAATAAATAAATGACTTTCTTATGAGGGCACTTACTTTCGTCACGGATATATCTTTAATTTTTCAATATAAATCAAAATAACTCATAAAAATCTTTTTTGCAAATTTAAAAAAAGTTGTTCTTGTCACACAGCGAATTAGATGACGCACTTTGTTTTGATAACAATGGATGGATTCCACCGCAGGGGGGGGGGCTCGTGATGTAGGTGAGGGTTGTCAGAGCTGTAAGCGACGCCTGCTGGTGGAGAGGCGTTGTGTATGGTGCATTGTCAGGACTGCGCCCGTACGCTGCTCACAAACTGATGCTAAAAATAAAATACAAAAACCCGTATTTAATTTATTTCTGTTAATATTTTAATAAATAAAACTAACGGTATAGTGCATTCCTGTTTGATGTAATCAGTTAATATACTGTTATCAGTTAATCATATGATATGCACTCACTACGTTCACCACGTTCACGTTGAAAATCGTGTAGTGGATTGTTGAACTTCATTCCATAAGATTTCTTCATGTGAATA